TCAGGCTGACGTAAGTGACCGGAAGTGAAATTTCACCTCCTTAGCAACGCGCGCGAGCGCGCGCATGAATAGGTTAATGGGCCCTTAAGTCTGCAAATTAAAGTTCATTTATGGCCTGTCCACACTACGCAGGAAAAGTTTGAAAACGGAGCTTTATTGCTGCGATTAGGCCAACTGTACACACTAATCCGACATGAAAACGGAGCTTTTCGAAAACGCTCTTCAAATCGGAGGAATTTGAAAACGTCGGCTTTGCGTTTTAGCGTAGACGGAAAGCATTTTAAAAACGGAAGTTTTTTAAAACGATGGGTTCAGGATAATCACGTGATTTCCTTGCCCGAGTTTTCCTCAAACACAAACCCAACCGACCGGAGATCGTCGTGTTTTCAAATTTCTCCGGCGTAGTGTGGACTAAAAACATTTGATGCGTTTTCAGAGTGAAAACACGGTTTTCAAATTTTTCCGGCACATTGTGGACGGGGCGTTCAGTAATCTCCCGTTCAAGGTAAGAGAGGGAGTAACAGAATGAAAGAATTCTTAAAACTAACAATGTAAATAATAAAAAATAAAATCATGAACAACGACTAGTTACCTTTATGAATAACAGTGCGACTATAACTTTACAAATTAGGATGTATAACCTTAAATATAAGGATGTTTAAAGATGGAGAAGATTAACTCGGATTACTAACGATGAACTACCTTGCAGTGCACGCGTATTTTGGTGAGCGAGCGAGCGCAATTAATCAAGCGAGCGCCATCCTGGATTCAACCTCTCAAGAGGCTTGGGAAAAGACGAAAAGGTGTCCTAGAGAGTAGGAGTGAGGCTAAAAGAGGCGTATGGGGGAGGGACAGGGGACAGAAAAATACTTATAAAAATACTCCTTCCGCCCCCACCCCCTCCTCGCCCACTTTTCGTGGGCAGCATGGCGGCGAACCTACTCGATCGCGAGCTAATACCGATAGCCCGCGAGCATGCGGAAAACACCGGTACTGCAGGGTAACGATGAAATTGAAAAATTTCGAAACATTCGAAACAAAAAGTACTTAGAAGAGAACAGAGAGAACTTGAAAAATGGCGTAGTAAGATTTCACCTGAATATCAACGTTACGCGTTAGAAAGGCGGAAGACTCATGGTTGAATGCAATAAAAACAAAAATTGCGTTCGTAAAAGCCGGCTGAATCTGAGTAGCAACATTACAACAGCAGCCAATGCTCACCTTATGGAATCTCTTTTAGATAACTGGCTGAAGAATAACCAGATTACCATAGATATAACATTATTTTGTTTTGGAGCCGGTTCGAGTTAAATTCAACTTCATTACGATGTACAATAAATTCAGCCACTTTATAATTTAACGGCCGCATCTACCTTCGCCGTCTGCTTGTATCTGGGGTCTTTTACGAGTTTTAGTTTCCAAACTTTTTTTCTAAACAGCGTTAATCCACGAAGGACTAAAGAGGCTCTATTTTCTTTTCTTTCATCAAAAGTACTAGACGCGTCATTTTAATTTGAGTAAACAGCTCGAAAACATAGATACGGTTTCGCAGATGGAAAAACAAAATTATGAAGCTGAAATCAAAAAAGTAAATTATCTTTCTGAACTCTTCTCCTGAAGCTATCGTTCGTTTAGTTCAAAAGGTATTGATTACGTCTAAAATAAAACAGAAAATTACACCCGATCGCTCTCCAGAATTTCGTGGAAACTCGTTACGCCCTAAAATTAGACCTGAGTAAATAAACCAATCAAATGGGAGCATTGAACGCCCTTCGGGATTTGTGATTGGCAGGCTGAACACCTCAGCCTCTTTAATAGGTTCGCTCCATGTTTAAACGAGTAAAAGAACAATACACCACTTTCGATATATTAAAATTCAGCTTGGCAGCGAGACCCAGAGGACACAAACAAAGGAAAGTGAATGGCCATGTTTATTCATTTCTTTTGTTTGTGTCCTCTAGGCCTCATTATCAAGCTGAATTTTAATATATCGAAAATGGCCTATTCTCTAGAAAATATCACGTGGTCTGTAATAGGAAAACAAACAACCAAGCTAGAAAGGTCTTTTGTATAATTACCTGCTGCATTATACATTGCTATGTGATATGTACGGCTATTTGGCCACATGTGGTTAAATTGGTTATGTATTTGCATTTCCACCTGTACAAGTATGACTTAAGTAGTAATCAATCCTCAATTTGACTGCAAAAGAAAAAAGAAAATGGATCACGAAATTTCCCATGTCGTTAAAGGCCCAATACAGAATGGCATTAACGTTAATTCGCTTGAACTTTATTCGATCTAAACAGTTCAACCCAAATATTTACTGCCATTCTGTCTACAGAATTAAAAAAGATGGCTCCCGAATATCGTGATA